ATTTAAGCGACGGACTATTCAGAACTCTCAAAAGTATGTGGAAAAAGTGAAAACTGAAAAAAAAAATTTTCACCGGCGGCCACAAGGTCAGATTTTCGGTTTTTACTTGGCACAAGGGTCAGAACACTTTCTTTTTTTATTTGGACAATGCATGCAAGCGGAGGGGCAAGAGTGGCTAGAATAGATTCTGCAACCTTCTCCGCTTGTTGGATAAAAATGTCAAGCCTCCGCATACATGCATCTCTCCTCCACCCTCCCGTGAAATGTCGATTTTCGAGATTAAAAAAAAAACAATAATTGCATTTTTTATTTCAATAACGCATGAGTAAATAGGGATATGAACGCAGATTTAATATAGGCCCATAGAATTACGGGGACCGGCAAGGATTTGGAAAGTCTGAATGCAAGTCCTGCTTACACCTAACAAGTGCTGAAGTGGGACATAACCAGAGGTAGAAAGGTCTCGGAAGCACTTGGGAAGAGGCTTCCCAAGACCTATCCAGTTCTGAACGGAGAGACCTGAGTAGAATTTGTCAGGTCCAATTATTCGACTCGGGTTGCTAATCACCTCAAACCACAAATGATTTTGAATTTTTGTTTTTGCTACCATTCGGAAATAAAAACTATCAAAAAATCAAAAAATTATCAATTTTCTGCCAGTGGTCCGTTTTGCCCTAGGGGTTCGTTTTGCCCTACCCTCCCCTACATAATTTTTATTGAATATTTCTCTCCGTGAGACGAATCAGACTCACATCATACTGTTCCACCAGTTCCCCCGATGCAATTCCGTTCTTAACATAATCGTGGAATTCATTCAACTTCACAAGCGATGAACGCTTGCCCTTTTTACCCGTCTGTTGACTATCTGATATTAAACCTGGACTTTGAATCTCATCGAATACTTCCTCGATAGACTCCTGGCTTCCCGTTAAAAGGGAGGTTCCATTCCGCGGAGATCGCGGATATTTCCGAGAGCGAATCACTGGTAAAGGTAAATCGTCGAGAGATTTTTCATCGCTTTCATTCATAACCGCTTTCTTTCTGGCAATCAACAGATTATGTAACATATGATATGCAGGGAGTGCACTTTTTGCTGATCAATTATGTAAATACCTGTATCTTCTGAAATAAAACCAGGTAATGCCACATACGATCACCACAATCAACACCAATGGCAGTATCCATTTCAAAGGGGACCCTGCCTTCATTACATCATTACTAATTTTAATTGGGTCCGATTTCCAACTGAGAGGTTTCTCAACTTTGGGTGAACTACTGCTGTCCCTATCCCGCACCAGGAATGCAATCCGATAGGAGCCGTCAAAGACTTGGCAATTGGTATTATTGTAACGATTATAATGAAGTTTTCCGTCTCCAATTGTGAATGGAGTGTTGGCTTTCTTGGACGTCTGAATGAAATTTCATGCGAAAGGAAGTCTTGTATGTAAATGATTAATAGAAAAACTTGGCACATTCGCTCGGAAGTTCTATTGGATTTTTCTATATTGGGCTTTTATTGGAAATTTATGTTTTTCGCCGAATTCACAGGAAAATTCCGTAGCTTTTGTGCGTTGCTCTTCAAAAAGAAATGCTAAATAGCAAATGTTGTACGTAGAAGATGGTTTCGATAGGAATTCTACGACCAAAATTTTTCAAATTTTTGTCAATCAGATTGTTTATGGGTACTCAAGTATTTGATAGATTTGACCATTTTCAATCATCAAATTTGTCAATGAAATTGCGTGAGAAAAATTTGAAAAAAATCAGAAATATTCAGCGTCATTTAAATTAGATTTTACACAGAATTATTACTTTTTCAAACATTAGTTGTTTCTAAATAAATAATTCAAATCGTTTAAACTTTTGGAAATCTTACTTTTTGGGCATGAAATCGATTTCTGATAAAACTCTGAATATGAATAAAGGTATTACAATTTTTGTAAAAAATGCTCGTAATTTTCAAAATTTGTAATGGACAAATTTGACGGAAAATCATTGTAAAATGTCCGGAAACGTAGTGTCAAATGGGACTCAAATGGAAACTCTGCTGTTCGATTACAAAAGTAGAGAAGGATTTCACTGGAGAAAAAAGCCAAAGTACTTGGCTATCCTCAATGAGAGAAAAAGAAATGCAACTGAGGAAAATTAAAAAACCTCATGCCATCGAATTCCTATAGAAAACATCTCAATAAAATGAATTCTCTGCGATGGTCGAGATCACTTAATTCTTCCTACAGAATATTTTTCATTGAACATTTCTACCGGCAAAAAGTGCACAACAGATTGTCAAGAAAAAGAAATAGAATTTCCAATGGAAGTTCAATATAATTTCCTGGCAAATGCGTCAACTTTTTGCTATCAATTCTAAATGCTAAAATTCGTAGATGATAGCAACTCATTATTGCTGCAGCACTGAAATCTTACAACTGGATCGGCCTAAACGAACTCACTGCAAATGTAGCAACAGACCAGGCGTCAGTGTACGAATCCAGGTCCAAGTCATTTGCTAGAATATCACTGACCATCTTGATGTCCTTGCAGCGCGGTGGACCGATAACTACGACATCCATAATGTTTGTTATTGTATCGTTCAGAATTGCTGGTATAATAATCATGATTTGTGATTCTTCAGCATTGACTACAGGGGGCTGCACTGCATCAAATGCGAAAGATGACTGGGTGGTGATGTTCAATTGGGCCACTTTTCCCGGGTAGATTTTACCGACCCCTCGAATCTGGATGCTGTATGAAGTTGATGGTAGGAGGTTCATCAGTTCGCTATATTTCGTTTTGTAAGTGCGTTTTGTGATTGGTTTTGTGCTGAATAATTCAGTTTTTTCTTTCGATAGCGGCTTTGACAGATTTGTCGATATTACTTTAAGTGTTACATTAAATTTCGTCAGCGGACCTCCTGTTTTCCAGGGGTGACTCCATGTGACATTTATTATGCCATTTCCTACATTTTCATACATGATATTGCCAGGCGCATCGGCTTCTGAAAATGTGAAAAGTTGTGGCGTGTGGAGAGTGAACTAGGGAAAACTATTTCATCGACAGTACTAAAGTTTTTCAGAAGCACCAAAGGTACTACTGAAAAGTACTAAAAGTATACCGGCAGAAAGTAGTGATGCCACTTCCGCCGAGTACTATTTCTACTCGATCGGCAGATGTGATACTTCACTCAAGGACACAAAATGTACTTGGGACGAGTATTTTTAGAACTTTTCAAAATTGAACTTCCCCCAAGTACCGGTGTGTACTGGTGAGAAGTAATTTTTCTTTGGGTGAGAAGTAATTTTTCATTGGAGTATGATAATGTCACAGAAAACATGAAATTTGGGGCGAGTCGGTTCCTCCCTTGGTAAGAAGTACTTTAGCGGATCCGTTAAGTTCTTCTGGTAGACTTTTTCGAAAGTATAAAAGCGAAGAAAACCTCACCTTTTTCTTGTAGACGATTCTCTATTTTGGATCCTACTCCAGCTTTCTCTACTCCTTCATTATGCGCTGTGACCTGAGAATTTCCCATTCATAAAAATGATTGACTTTTTCGTCAGAAAAAATACTGACCTCTATAGATTTGGATTCCAGTGCTGTATTAGGAACCGTTGTACACAACCAATTTTCCCATAACGGACACATATCATTTGCACCTGCCTTGAAACCCTTGGATCGACCACTCTCAGAAAACGAAACAGTATAGTAACTGATATGACCATTCGTTGGAGGCAAAGGCTTCTGCCATCTAAGAGTTGTCACATGATTTTCCGAATCAACTTCCACAATTTCCAAATTCTCAACTTTTGGCGGAGCTGAAACGTATCATTTCAAATTCAATGGAAATGATTTTTAGGAAACTTAACAGAAATTGGACATCTACAAATATTACCAATTATGCAATCATTTCATGTATTTCTTAGGAATATTATCAAGATTATCTAGATTATTGCTTTGAATGGTAATTGTGAGGAAATAATGCAGGATTTTAATAATCTGCGATAAAATTTGTCATTTCATGCCCTCGGGAAAGAAGTAATAATTATTTTGGAAAGGTGGATCAAAACCAAGAAATCAGACAATTTCCACAAAAAATGGAGTAACACAAAAGAAATTTAGTAGCAAAGTGGTAAAACGGTTTAAGTCGATTTTGACTATTGGTCATTTTTCAGTGAATATCTTGGAATCTAAGGGAGATAGTTAAATTTCTGTCGAAACCTTTTTTATAGCACTCTTGTTTGCTGTAGAAAAAAGGTTATTACGAAAATTTCGTTATCTCCTTTAGATTCGGAGATATTTTTCAAAAATTCAACTAAGAGATGAGTCGACTTAAACCGTTTTATCACTTCACTAGTGAATTATATCCCCAACAGGGGCAATCGAAAAATTCTGAAAAAAATCTGGAGATAGTTTTCCAATCTTCCCAACGATATGAAAAATATTCGTTAATTTTCGCGTTGGTTGCTGTCAGCGGTGACGGATTTATCAAGATCAAAATCGAATGCGCGCATATCACCATGATAGATCAAACGATTCATCGTTCTCATTGTCATTATAATACAATTCTCCATTTTAATACAACATTGAATAATTGATACCAATTTTTTGGGCAACTTTTCGAACTGGATATTGAACCATTTCATCGAAAAATTTTTGTGTATGATAAAAATTCAAATCTGAAAAGCCATCTGGTGATGAAAATTTGGTACTCGAAATTACGACTTGAAAATTAAGGGTCAGACAGGAAGGGTCAAAAACCAATGGTCAAAAATAAAGGGTCAGAAACTGAGGGTCACGAGAGTTATAATGAAGGTCAGAAAAAGGGTCACGATGGTCAGAGTAAGGGTTACAAGGTTCAGAATAAGGGTCTAAATAAGGGTCAGAAACTGAGGGTCACAAGTGTTAGAATGAGGGTCCAAATAAGGGCCATGGGGGTTGGCGAGCGGAGCGAGCAGGGGACGCAGTCCCCAAATAAGAAATATTCTTATTGGTCTTTTGTTTATTGCCTGAAAGAGAACAAGCTAAACGCGTGACACACTCCGGCCATCCCCTCTTCATTACAGAAAATACTTCATATCGCATAGTACTTACCACTTGAAGGAGTAGTGAAATTCAATGAAGAAAAAAATCTCGAATGATATTGTTTGCCATTGGCATCACGTGTCACATAAACTTGAACTCCATAGGTCTCTAGGCCGTGAAGAGCTATCTTTCTATAAATTAATGTATTTAATTCAAAATTTGAATTAGTTGTTGTTTCGGTATGGTAAAAGTTCTTGACGCCAGGACTTTGTCCCGTGAAAATTAATAGAGCCCCAGCAATTGAGCCAGTGATAGTGCTGCAATCAGGATCTTTCCACATCAGACTCGAATTTTCCTTCATAAACTTCAGGTCCTTAAATTTTTCAGACGGAATTTCTGTGAAGGAAAAATTACATGAACAAGAAGATTCGATTAATGAGTAGAGGGACCTTCAATCATACCCATTCCTTTCGTCTCAAAGTCTACTGAAGCTTCTTCTCCTCGTTTGGAATGGTGAGCCGACACATATACAAAATATCCGACATAAGGTTTCAAGTCTGCAATTTTATAAGAAGTTTGATAGAAAGGAATGACAGTCATTTTAGCCTCATAATTATTGGAATCCGAAGGCTGTGGTTGATTTTTATCCTTACAGCCTCTGTAATAGTCCACCTGAAAATGGAAATACATCAGAACTCTGTCATCCGTTATGCGAAAAACATTCTAATTACCCAAAGTCTAATTTCATAGGTTTTTATGTTGCCGTTGGGGTATGCCGGTTTGTCCCAAGTTATTCTAACTGATGTACTTCCCAAAGAATCAATTTTCAAATTTTCAACTTTCGATGGTGCTGGTGAATAACGAAAGAAATTTCATTGACAGATGAAGTTGAGTTCCGTCAATTCAACAGATATAAGAATGAGTAAAATAGTGGCATACCGGCTTCCAACGTTTGCACTTGTGTTTGATACTGTTGACTTTTATCTAAGCCGATTACTTTGACGTCGAACATAGTATTTGGTGGCAGATCACTCAGAATGACTGGCCATGTGCTTGCAGATCGTCTCTTTTGGTATGCCACAGCAGAAATTTCTGCAGTATACCAGCTATCTGGACAATGATTAGTCACGTCCTGTCAAAATTTGAATCATGAAGTTATGGAATTTAATGCGAATAAAAGTGAACCGTACCGGATTCGAGACTTTCTCAACTGTCAAGCTCGTTTCAGCAGCTACAACACTGTAACGGGCAGAACCTATCCGATTCCAAAAGATTTTATGTCATCAGTAACAGTCTTGATATCAACAGCTTTCAATGAAAAATCCCAGTTCTATTCGCTGGAATATTCTGGTAGATTTTTTTGCCGATTCCCATTGACAATTCAGTAGCTTTTCTGAGCGGATGCGGAAAAACTATTCATGAAGATGATTTTATAGAGAAATAAAATACACGTAATACACGGATAAAAGTTTTGTCTGAAAACTTTAGCAAAATGGCAAATTTTGCAAATTTTAGTAAACCTGGATTCAGTGTCAGATGTGCCTGAGATGAACACATTCTGTGTGTGGATTAATCCAGACGATGGTAAATTCGCATGTGACGATTGGACATGATGCGCAAATTACAAGAATATAAAATATATGAAGAATTATTATTGTTATTTGAAAATGCGTCCAATTATTGATTTGCTAATTTGCTCATTCTGTTATTTTTACGTACTTTTTGGATAAAAAAATCTTGCTGTGAGTTTGGAAGGTCAACAATATATTTCCCCAATGTCTGAAATTAACATTTGTCGGAATTACTATAGAAAATTACGGTTATTGCTAATCATATTCCTGTTGATTTTCATTGCTTTCCACAGTACCTATCATGTTTATTTCCAGAATAAAGGACAAATAGTTGGTAAAATTATTATGAAAAAAAGCACTCTATTTTTTTCAGAGGGTCCATTTTGCCCACTTGGACCATTTTGTCCTACCTTCCCCTACCTCTGTAGATAAAATTCAGTTTAAAAAATTGAATTTTTCCGTCGAAGGATTTCCGTGGAAAAAATGATGGATTCTTTCCATGAAATGTTTTCCCAAAAAACTACACGAAGAAACAACGAAATTTTTCATAGAAATCGGCAAATCTAGTAGAATTATCGATAGAATCTCAAAGGGATTCCAGTTGAATTTTCTAGCGAATGTCATAGGATTTTTTTTTTTTGTTTAATCCTAGATTGGTCACTCTAGGAAGGAAACCCGCCGCGCGTCGTTTTTCTTTAATTACAATTGACTGGCTAACCGAAAAAATGAAAAAAAAATGGACTTTGTCAATTGAAGTGTCTAAAAAATTATAGTAATTTTTAGAACAACATATTTCCCAAAATTCTCAAAGAAAACAAATCATTTCGGACAGATGAATTATTTTTCCCATGTTAAATGAAATTGGCCATGACGCATCGTTGCTGGAAACTCGTTAAACGCGCCCGGACAGTGTAGAGTGAATTCGGCAACGCTAAAGCATAAACAACACGGCGGCGAATGCCCGCGAAGGTGACCAATCGCAGGGTCGCATTTGGTGACCGGTTTAATCGGTTTAATAACTTACTTTGACATTTAGTTTCAAAAGTGGCCAAGTCGCTATATAAATAATTACTGCCATTGTTTATTTTTATTATCATCCTGACATTATACTGTATGCCAGGAATCAAACCGCTGAATGTAGCAGTTAATGTTTGGGGAAGTCCAGGCTGACTAGGGTGGCTTGGTCGCGCCAGCAGATATGAAGGCGCCCCATTGTTTGTCTGAAAATTAGAACAGGCTTACTGATCTATCGCAATTGCGTGCAAATCCTGACTGAAGAAGATTGATGTACTTCTAAATTGAATGTGAATGCGGCATTGATTTTTTTGTAATCCTCAAGCATGGGAATATCTAAACGGACACTCGTTTCAGTTACATAATTGACCAATGGTTTCCCTGGGGCATCTACGGCTGCAATTATTGAACATTCAGTTAATTATTCGCAACAACCACTATGAGATTCCATGAATGTTTTCCAGAAAAATACCATCTTTGCAATAAGGTGGTAGGAAATATCTGTTTGTCGAGGAACGGCAAGCATCGCACATTCCAGTAAACCTGTCGCAGTGCCCGCGCTTATTAGACTGCTGAAGGCAATTGCCACATGTCTCCGTGCATCCATATCCGTAAAAACCCGCATAGCAATCTAAGGGAAACAAGCAGAAGTCAGGGATTGATCGCGGCCGAAATGAAGTACTAATTGAATACTCACATTCATCACAATTTGTTCCTCTTACACCTTGAGAGCAGTAGCAAAAACCAGGATCGCACATTGTGACACCAACACAATCACCTCCAAAATATGTAGAGCATTTTGTTGCGCAGTGAGGCCCGAAGTAGAATTTTGGACAGAGCTCATTGTTCTTGGAATAGCCTGTGATAACAAGAAATTACGCGAAAATCGCCACACGAGAAACGTCAAATGCTAATAATCGCAAACGATTTTGTTTAAGAGACGAATTTAAATGGAGTTCCTGTGCAGTAATTTTCAGCATTTATTTATCTCAAGCAAATTTATTCGGCATGAATCAATTTTCCTCTACGATTGGTCTTGCAGAAATTTCTATTAAAATTTTGACAAAAAAGTCAATTAAATTAGTAAAAACAATAATATTATAAATAGCGTAATTTGAAGTGAGTTATACGAAAGTCGAGACATTCTGTGGCACCGTCCCACCCTCAGCAATGCAAGGACGACATTCATTAGAGAATTGGAACAATTTAATGTTCCACTTATGAACTCAATCATCCCCGTAGTGAAAACAACAGATTTAAAAATACTTGAAATACTACATAAATTTAGCATACATAGTGGACTGAATATCTAAAATCAATGATTGTAAAAAGTGTAAATATTGAGATTGAGTTAATAGCACATTACTGATAGTGCAAATAAATCTTGCAGATTTAAGCAATTTAAACAATAATAAAAACTAAGTTATTGCATACTACACCCAGAATAAAAATCTTATTTTGAGAGTCCAAAGATCTTAAATTGAGACTGTCGGAAGGACCAAATGGAGCTTTTCCATTTGCATAAAAATCCCCCTATTAAAATCTACTCGCAGCAAATGAAAAGCTCAAGCATCAAGGCTTGGACTCTTGTCCCCTGATCTCCTGTAAAGCAGCTAATCCAGGATTTCCCATATCAGGACTCGAATAATTCCCAGTTAAATTTGAAATTTGATAATTTCCGGTTGATACGTCTGAAAATCTCAAGTTGGGACTTTTGATAGTCCCAATGTGAGGCTTAAAATTCTCAATCGTACCCTCTGAAAGTCTTAACTTAAAACTTTCGAAAGTCTGAACTTGAAACTTTATATTGAAATTTTTAAGTTCCAAACATTTGATTAAAAATTTTTCAATTTAAGATTTTCGAAAATCTCAATTTTAGACTTCCGTAAGTTCTAATTAGGGATCGTAAGTCGCAAATTAAAATTTTTTTTCGTTGTATTATTCAAGCTTCGCTGGGAAGTTTCTAGAAGACTAATACAATACTGTGCGCAATTACTCATTTTTAGGGGTTCTTTGATAGACAATTTTCGCGGTACATGGAAAGAAAGTGGCTCTCGTACCTTGCGGTTTAAAAACACTGTTTGAAATGCCATTGGGCCCCGCAAGTAATCCGGTACCATCCTGGGAAAATTTCTGGCAAATTATGTGAGGCCACCAATACTTCCCTGCGTACCATTCTTGTACCGCAAACAGGGTCATTCTTTTGACAGTTCCTAAATTTATATGCATTATTTGGAAGTTCGATGTCAATTATGTTATAAATTTCCACCAAATATTATTATTTGGTACCTTCTGGCAAGCACTCATGGATATCAGCAATCGCCCAGCGGTAGTTTAAATTATCACCGGTTTCCGACACTCTCGTGATTAACGTGATGGTGCTTGGTACTGAATGAGGGTTGATATTTGTGAAATTGACTTTGACATTTTGCCACAACGGGAGACCGTGATCAGCTTTCTGAAAGGCATGACCGTAAAATGTATTTGTTTCCAACAGATTGTGGCTTTCATCCCATAAGCTGATTTCCAAGTCACACTTATAACACAATCCTATGAGCAACTCAACACAGAAACTATCGGTGCCATTTCCTTGCAGTTGTGCAGTCAACTGAGCGTCTGGTTGCTTGACTAGAGTATAAGAATCTGTTTGGAAATCCCAATTGTGTTTGATGAATTCTTATTTACATGAAAGGATAACGTGATGAAATAATGAAATAATGCGTTAATTACACTCGTGGATGCGATAGTTCTTTGGGATTTCGTCTCCGTTAACATGGCAATAAACTTTGTACGTTCGAACTCCACCTTGGCGATCCCATAATGGATCATGATCAAAAAACGACGAAGCTAATTTGTAAGGATCATATATCTTGATAGACCAGTCAGTTTCTTGCCATTTAATGACAAAAGTTTTCCACTCATAGATGCTCAGTGGTGTAGGCTGTAAAGAATAACTATCGGATTGTACATGTCAAATAATTTGGAGGTGTAATATGAAAAAAAAAACACTTGAATCAATTTCAATTCGAGGATGATTATTTCGTATCAGCCGGCGTTGTACCAAGCGCTCTCAAGCGTAAGGGTCAGACGCTAAGTGTGAGAAGATAAGTATCAAAAAGTGGAGGTCAAAAAAGAAGGGTCGGAATATTAGATTCAAAAACTGAGGGCCTGAATGTAAAGGAGAAGGAATGAGAGTCAGAATGTTAGGGTTAAGAAAAGAGAGTCAGAATATTAGGATAAAAAAATTAGGGTCAAAATATACAAGTAAAAAAAGTGGGTGTCAGGCAATGAGGGTCATATAAGGGCTAAAAGCGGGCGTCAAGCATAATATATGACTTATATTTGTCCCTCCTTGCCTGACACTCAATTTTTTACTTTTATATTCTGACCCGCATTTTTTAACCTCAACTTTTTGACCCTGATATTCTGATACTTAGCGTCTGACCCTTGTATTACACTTAAGAGGGCTTGCAACAACCCGGCCTGATACAAAACAATTTTATCTTCGAGTTGAAATACCCATCCCCCAATTGAGGATAAAATATACTTGAATCAATTATATTATATACTCGAATCAAGAATAATATACTTCAATTAAGTATTGATATTGTTATTGTAGATTCGAGTATAAAATATACTTGATTCAAGTATATTTTATACTCAATTCAAGTTTTTTTTTCCGTGAACTTACATGAAAGTTTCGGCCAGACAAATAGAAACAGCTGCTCCAGTTGCTCCTTGGAATTCCCCCATCATTAATGTCATATTCACATCTTTGTACTGTTGCAATACTATTAGATTCTTGAGAGAATCCAATAATGATCCAATAGCAGAAACTTGACCGATAATTTACGGTTGTGCACAGAAAAAAATGGGCTCTGGATTCGCCTCGGACAGACACTGCAATGGCTCCAGTTGCACCGAATGTTGTGATATATTTAGATGGTATCCACACTTTTGACACTATCGAATACTCTTGTAAAGCTGAAAATGCAAATTATACTATTTTTACTGGGGTTCCCTTGAAAAAGGCATTGTAAATTGAGAAAAAAAATTACTTTTGCCAAGGGATCATTTTCTTGGGAGAAGAATTAATTTTTTTAGGAGCGTATTTGTCTAGGCCAGTCATTCCTAGGTGGTCCATGCCCATCTCGAAATATTAGTTATATTGAATTATGAGATGATTATGCTACGTATAACCTTGAATGAACACCCTTCATTATTTTTCAATTTTTTCAAATTTGAAATTTTGTTGCGTACAATAATTTGGAATAATCCTAAATATTAATAATTGTCAATGGAATTCATTCAAGAATTTCATTTTCAGTATTTTTTCACCCTATAGAGGGCAAAAAGTGTGGAACAAGTAGTGAATTTTTCTGTTGGCTCGGGAAAATTTACTGAACATGAAGTTAATTTGCGCCGAAACTGTAACATTTACTCTGCATTCCATCAAAAATTATTCCGTGACGTGTTCGGTAATTTTTCTGTAACGGTTTTCTCCGTGCACTCACACTGTTAAAAATTTTCCAAGTAATATGTTCACTGAATTTTCAGGGAATTTTGTCATTGAAAATTCATAATTTCACGGGAAAATCCGTGGAGATTGTAAATTGCAGTCTAATTATTCCAGAAAAGTTGACGAAAAATCTGAAAAATTCTGGAAAACATCTTCTTGAATTCCAGATGCTTCTGAATTTTCAGGGAATTCATTTAAATTCCTGGAATTTACAGAATTCTAAAGGAATGGCCTGGAAATTCAAGGGAATTTGGCAGTGAATATTTATTTTCACTTGAAAATTCACGTAACTTGCGGAATTCCGATCTTCCTGCCGCTAAAAAATTGGGGCTTTACTTGAATTTTCAAAAAAAAAAATGCAATTTCGCTGACTTTTTCCTCTTAAATCGAATTTAAAGTCTTTTTCCCAAAAATTCAGTCAAATTTTTTGTAACAGTGCACATCCATATCTCCTACCTCTAAAAACTATGGAAACAGTCTGGTCAAGTGGTTACCTTCCCATCTACTGTCAAAAACAGGTCCCATGGGTTCTTCTAGAGATTTCACGATTTTCCAGGCACCGGGCGGTTGCTGCCGCCACCGTCCGAAACATGGATTAGAATCATCATCGAATTTGCAGTTAATAATGTTATTTCTTCCATTATCCGAAAGGACAGGAGCTGCAGAGAACCAAAATTCAAATCCCTGCGATTATATTCACGAATTTCAAAAGGTGGAACAATAATTTATGGAATTGTACCTGTCATATTGTTTTTTTCTTTCCAATTCAGGAAAGTATCCACCCATTGAAGAGGAGTATTCCAAGTCATTGCATCAGACGGATTATCACTGATACAGACAAGCTGGCGTGATTCGCGCTCGTGATGCGCGCTGAATCGTCCATTCTTCCTGATGTGCTGACCACGAAAGGTAAATAATTGATCACACGAAACTTGAATTTTCCATGAAAAGACTGTGAGTAGCATCAACACGAGCTTCATTTCTACTGTGTTATGAATTTCGTGTGAGCCAACATCAACGAGAAGCAGCGACTGGCTTGATTTTATGGAATAAAAATTGAAGCGGTAATCACGGTACATGTCTTCCGGCCACAAAACGTGAATCAGCGATAAGGAAACTTCTAAAATAGATATGTTTGAATGGAAGAATGAAATTAACAGAGGAAAAGTTATTCATTTTTGCGATACATGGTTTTATTGAATCATATATTCAGCATTTTCATCAGGCCTGAAGTATTGTGAATGGGATCACTGACATCCAAAATCATGATATATTGCTTATCTCCGTACTACGTGCATTGATATTTGCAAACTACGATAATTGTGAGGTGCTAACAAATATATAACAGTCACATAATTTACACTACATCAAATTATTACTCATGATCAAGTGTGTGATTCGCTTAAGCCTTGAAATGACCACTATAAATCGACGCAGTGTGGTACATCTATCCGAAGTGATCCTAAAACGGATGAAAAATTCCTACAAATTCATTAACTTTGACCCCTCTTCGATGTAATTGAGCTAGTGACTGCATAATTCATCAGATTTATTCACAAATCTGGTCACGATCTGCGGATAGATCGAATAGTCAAATAAATGTAACTCCTTCACTTAGGAAAAATCCCAGGTTGTTTGATAGTGAAAGATGTTTTGTTAACAAAAGTTAGGACAAAACAGGAATCGGTTATGAGGAAACTTCAAAAATAGATACGGGTTGAAACTTTTTTAGTGTATTCATTTCTATTGTGATCGTGTATTTGAGAAAGACAGTATCGCTGTTACACATCTCATACATATTTGAGTATCACTGTAGATATGGCGGTAATTGCGTTCAACACATTAATCAATAATGAACTCAAAAAAAGAGAAAACTCGATGTAAACCATCCAGGCCGACAGTGATCCTAGATTCTATATACTTTTATTAATCATACATATAAAAATTTCATTACATATAAAATAGTTTAGATATAAATTTCTCTGGGCCAGTGACTGAGATTCTTAAATGTTAGAATTTTATAATATTTCATTTACTCGGCGTCTGTATGTTTTTATTGAAAAACAAGAACAGACAGATGATCACATAAAATTTGCGTACGTCTCAAAGTAGTCGGCATAGACCAGGGCAGTATCATATAAATATTCGAATTGATCCTGAAATAGATAGAACATTGATTCAAAACCCACTGAACTCTGGCTCTTCTTGAAAATACTTCGAAGGCTGGCTGGTTAACCTACCAGAGTCTTGCAGAAATCTGGTCGCGATCTTCGGATAGCTCGAATAGCCAAGCAAACATCACACTCCCGTTCCAATCCCATTCTTTCCAGTAAGAAACTCAGTGCCAAGTAGAGGCCGCAGTTCCGAACTCCGTCGCTAACGGAAAATTTAGTTATGTTTGTTAATGACTAAGACTTTGTTAACATGAATACTGAACGCTTCGTTGAACCTTACTGGCACAGAACCACTGTGGGTCCGTCTCCCCTAGGAATTCTCTCAGCATATTGCCAAAAATTAACGAGAGTTATCGGTTTCGGCGGTGATTTATACTCTCCCGGCTCCCATTCTTTTAAACATAAGAAAGTAATTGCTCGTTCTTTCGGCGGTTTCTGGGTACAGAATAAAATATTGTGAGTGCAGTCGCAAAACCAAATTTCCTCCGTACACTGATCATTGCGGACGTCTAAAAAACTTCGTTGAAAAACCTGGTTAAATTCCACTTGGGAAGGTGAACTTTTGGTTAATTGAACTTTTCTCAAATTGAACTTCCGTCATTAAAACCTTTCGGTTATCTTGTCTCTTGTAAGAATATAGGTAAAGTCTGTGTTTGTGTTTGAAATTTCATAGTATTGTTTCCTTGTGCATATGAATTTGTGTCAAATCATTTGTAATCAAGACTTGATGCTGTTTATTCTGGAAACTTTCGAATGGAAGCATTGTAATCGTTCAAATTTAAGTTTCCAAATTTTTGTGTCAGGGTAATTTAATATGGCTCAAAAGTCCGAATATGCGATTTTTTGAAGGTGTCTCTATGTATGTATGTATGGGTATATGTGGACATTTTTCATTTTTTATCGCAATTTTTTTATGCGTTAAAAGTTTAAAGTTTTTTTCAAGTTTTTCAAAGTTCAGGTTGCTCAAATTATTTTTCTTCAATTTTTTTTATAACCGAGTTGTTTTGACCAAGTTTTTTTGACGATGTTTTTTAGACATGGACCCGATCGTCGAGTTTGTACACTCACCGCCGACGAATCAGTCAACAGTATTTTCCGACTTGTACAGATATCTTCATCAATCGATTCTCTTCCTTTGAAATTCAAGAAAGGGGTCGGATTTAACTCCTCATCGAATTGTAGTACAAATTCACAGCATGTCTGTAGAAGCAATATATACGAATATTAATTCACTGAATGTAACAGGCTTGAATGAGGACTGAGAAAAAAAATTATTTTTGCCAAATGGTCATGTACTTCAGAGAAGCATTCTAGGCGAGCCGGATTACATTTCAATTATAACAACCATGTTGCTCTAGAGAATGACTATGTTGCACATGACCTTAGCTGAAGTCCTCTAATGATTATTCATTTTTCCTAAATTTCTCATTTACTCGAGGGAACAATTCGATGAGTTTTTTAATGTTGATAATTATTGAGGGAGTTTCCTCGATGTCACTAACATGGTCATCTCCTATAATTGGCATAATTGAAATAGGATTGCCTGGGAATGACTCGAAAGGAGAAATACGATATTGAAAAAAAAAATACTTCAATCAAATAAATGAAAATTCGGCAAAAATCATTTGTTTTCTCCGTGAGATGCCTCGCTGGTACCTACAGGATCTTTCTCATCAGGAGGTTGTAGAACAATAACAAGTTCAACATTGAATTCCGCAATCATCCTCCAAAAATCGTTGACCGTCGATGGTAACGGCAGTTGCGAAGCAATATAATTATTTTTACGCATGGCGCTGTCTACATAACTACCAAATATGTAATCACTGTCATCATCTGTTGTAGGATATCGAGAAATATGAAGGGTTGGGCCGACGAGTGCAGCCAATTCCGGGTACCGATTTTTGGCGATATTCTTTTGAGATAATTCCATCGGCTTATGCATCGGTGATCGAAGTGCCTTATCTTGCCAAGTGCTTTCGTCAAGCCTAAAAAATATAATTCGCTCTAATTGACGTGGCAAAAGAGATGAGCTCACAAAATTTTTCAGGAACCTCTGTTGCTGAAGAGGAAGTTGCTTCTTGTACTCCTGAATTCTCATTGGTAGTGTGTCATTGCAAGGTATTGCCGTTGGCAGCGACAAGAGACACTCAACTAACGCTAAATGAGCGAGAAGATATTGTTGTTCGTTGTCGACCATATTAGCTCTCTGATTTCGTATTTCCGTCGTTTCCGCAAAGACATCGATGACCTGTAAAATTTTTCAAAAATGTTCATCATCATCATGAATACGGAAAAGAATAGTCTTACGCCTTGAGCCGCAGCTTTCCGCAGACATATGTCACATAAGATGATCGTTCCTGTTCGTCCAATTCCTGCGCTGCAATGAACAACAATAGGACCATGACCTAGCGGTGTTGCAAGCAACTTCTTCAAATATGTAACAACCGACTGGATGTATTGAGGTACTCCATGATCCGGCCATGCGGTATAATGGAGATGTTCCATCTAGATATTCGTAAAATTTTGTAAAATTCAGAAGTAATGACGATCTGACGACTCATGACATTACCCTCCGCGTCTCTTGATCGCATGTAACTGAGAAAGTCCTGAAAGTGTAATCCGCAAAAGTGGTATGGCTCAAATTGTGAACAGTAATGTTCCCGAATGTAAGTTCCTTCCCAATTTCAGGCCAGTATTGCTCGCATTTTGTCTACAACATTGGTTCATTTCAAATTATTCAAATTCCATGATTGATGGAATATCGTGGATTATTCTTACCTTCCCACTTTCAAGAACATTAGCCAGCATGCAAATAACTTGAACTCGTTCCTGCCAAATCATTCGCCAAAAGTCATTAAGAGTATTCTGTCGAGGACCCTGCGTAGCTATGTATGCTTTGTTCTTCTGATAACCCTGTTTAACATGCATAATTTCAATGTTACAATGCGATTAACTAAAATTTAAATAACGAGATCGAATACGCACGAATGCGATTCATTGTTCTCATGTAATACAATTCTCCTTTCTAATACAATCCACATTAATTAGAAAGATGAATATTGAATAATTAATACCAATTTTTGCGCACCATTTCAAACTGAATATCGAACAATTTAAGTGAACAATAAGAAATAGTCTTATTGGTCTTATTTTTATTATATAGAAGATGCAAAACATCCGCATCATCATGAGTGATGTGTCCTAATACTTTAACAATCATTTAACAATCAACATCATTAATGTGAAAACGGAAAAAAATTCCGAAAAAATAAAAGCGTGACACGTTTTAGCCATCTTTTTTTTTATTATAGAGGTTTACCTTGATATAATTTGCATTGATGTAGTCGGAGTATGGATCGTCGAGTAACTTTTCCAGTTTCACTCGCGTTTCATCGTCTACACAGAACATTGCATATTATTTACAAAATTTTTTTTTAATCTCTCGTTACATTGAGAGAAGAAAAAATTTGTCCGACAATAACGGCCCCAAAATGCAATGCACCTCGATCTAAGTATACTTACATGCTATTAGGTTTGCATATCTGTTTTTAGATTTATTTTCAGGGAGCTGTCCATATTCCCAAGGCTTCGTCTGTCCCCTTGGAAACGCCTTTGGGAATTACAAAAAAAATGAAAAAAGAACATTTTCATACGCTGGCAACATATTATCTCATAATATCTGTTTGAATACTTCATATTGTGCGTTGAGTTTTCCAGATGCAATGCCATTTTTAACATAATCCTGGAACTCTTTGAGTTTTATCAATGTAGGGGAAGCGTTGTTGCTGTGCGTTCTTTCGCTTTCTGGAACAACATCTGGAGTTTGAACTGCATCACATACTCCGGCTATAGATTCTCGGCTCGCCACTAGTAACGAGGTCTCCTTACATAAAGACTGGTTTCGTGGAGTGAGGATCGGCGGATAGATGTCATCAGAACGTTCTCTTCGTTTGACTCCGGCCCTTCGATTCCTGAGAGTCAAGAAATCAATGGACACTTTATCTATCCATTTACACAGCAAAAAGGAATGTCTGAATTTCACACACCTTTTGTAGACATTTTTCAGACACTATAAAACGTCTGAAAAAAATGAAAATGTGTCTGAATTTTAGACGAACCGGTTCCCAAACATCTTAATTTATGTTTGAAATTCAAACAAATTTTCATTTTATTCAGACGTTGTTTATCGTCTGAAAAATGTCGGCAAAAGGTGTGTGAAAATCAAACATTCGGTTTTGCTCTGTAATTCAATTTCCTTCAAGTACCTTCTTCTGGAGTAGAACCATGCGATGCCAGCTCCTGCAATCAGTAGCAGGACAAGTGGTACTAGCCAGGCTTCATGGGGTATCTTCGTCACTGGCCCAATTTGAAGTTTCTTTGATCGCCAATGAAGTACCTTCACAAATCTGTCCGAAGCCTTACGACTATCATTATGTACCACGTAGGCGATTTGATAAGTGCCATTAGGCAGGGGACAATTAGCCATACCACCATGCACTTTATCATTGCCGATAGTAAAGGCTGTATCTGCTACATCTAACGTCTGTAATGATGCAACGGACGATTGAATACTGACTCACTGCACGGAGAGAAAAATTCAATAAAAATTACCAGAAGAAAACGTAAAAATCAGGTTTCGAAACGTAATCCGTGAACGAAGTAAAATTCAATAAAAAGTGTGAGTCGGACCTGAAATTGTACGAATTGCCACCTCAGTGCTACGGTTTGTTCCGCGAAAATTAACCACCCGTCTGATGACTCACCGCTGTGGGGACAACAAATCGTTCTGTAATTTTTCCCTAACGATTGCGAAATTTTACGGAACGGAATGTAGAAATCACTCGCCAGATTCATAAAAATTGTTGAATGTTCAAGAATTTTTTATTTTGGAGGCATAATAAGTCGGGGAGTTTCTGTAAGATTTTACTTCTTTGGGAAAAATTACGTGACAATTTCGTACTTTGTTCGGTGATGAACCTGAGAATTCGCTGAACGTTTCAGATTCTCTTCCATTCCTAGAAAAATTGCCGGAAAACGATTCCCCAACGGATTACGTGAATTGTTTTGTAATTTTTACTGAATATTTCTCTCCGTGTGGAATATCTGTATGCATATTTCAGAGGCATTGTAACAACTAACTCGAAATTTAGCGATGTGCCAGGCACTTGTACCAGACTTCAAATCCAGATCTTCTTCGGCCATTTTTGGAATGGGCCAACTTGAACTGCAGGGCCTAGGACCAATCAATATTATGTGAATAACGTTTTCTCTCGTGTCGTTGACAATTGCTGGTATGATTATATTGATTTGGGATTCTTGATCATTGATGATGGGCTCTCGCATTGGACCGAAATCGGAAGCGGATTCAGTCGTCACTTTTACCGTCTCCATTTTTCCCTCCAATCTCTTGCCGACACCCTGAATGGTTAGTTCATACATGGTTGATGGCAGAAGATACATGTGGATGTCGTAGTCCTTCTTGTAAGTTGCAATTGAAACTTCCTTAAACGGTTTGTCCTCGGGAGCGCGTAAGGGTCTTGCTAAGTCGGTTCTCAAAACTTTTCCCTTGATCCTAAATTTTTTTATAGGAACACCTGTCTTCCATGGGTGTCGCCATTTGAGATATACAACTCCATTCTCAAAAACGGAAAAATTCACATCTCGAGGTTTTCCAGGAACTGGAGATGGGAGAATTAGTGAATTTTAACATGGCTGTCTGAACTCCGTACACGAAGAGAATATAAAATTAAAAATTACTATGTGAGTACAGTAATCGAGGAGCATGCCGGAAAAAATTTAAAGTTTGATTTATTTTACTAGATTAGTCCGCGCGGTCCGCGCGCGTATTTCCGGCGCCTTGAGGCTTAATGTTGAAAACGCTTTATATTTTGATAAATTTTTACGATGTTCAACGGTATTCCCGAGTCGAGGATTTGGTTCTGATTGGACGTACACAGGTCTTTCAAGATCTCTCCAGACCTAGATGGACCTGGTAAGTAATAATCAGTTCTGCGACGTACTTTTCCAGAGACCATTCGAATCCTCAGTTCTTTTCGGTCCTGAGAAGCCCTCCTCGATGCTACCGAGAACGCGTGATTTTACGAGCGGGTGAAGGGGAAGGCATGTATGCGGAGGGTTGAAATTTGTAGCCAACGAGGAGACAGGGTTGCAGAATATATTTTAGCCGCCCTCATCTCCCCGTTTGCAGGCGGTGTTTAAATAAAAAATAGTGAACGTTGATTCTGTATTTATTGACCCCCTGATGCCAATGAAAC